AGGTGAGCAATTACTGAGTCGTGTTTTCCGACCTAGCACTGAGGCCTAGAGCCCAGGTAACAACTGAGGGAAATTGCAGGACCTACTTAGCAGTATGGTCAAAATTAATAATTGTTTATAAGGACAATTAATAGCTTAATAATTGTTAATAAAATTAACAATTATTTTATGTTTAGGTGACACTTAAAAGCTGATTAATATAGAGAGAAGAAAAAGTCACTACTTATCCAAATAGGTAAATAAAAAATCTTGTTCTGTGCCACTTCAGAGTCAACAGCCAGAAAGGTTAGAATGCATTTTTCATGTTACAAATTAGAAATATATTAAACTGTGTATTTTCCACTGGCATAAAAAAAGGAGTTAATTTGGCCTTTAGCATCTATGAAGTAGTGTTCCTATCTGCTGATGAACTTCATAGTCCAATGTAATATATGGAACCAGCAGGCTTGGAGTATAAAACACTTTTTAGTATCTGGTCTCTTGTTTTTCTCTTCCCCCAGGTTAATATTCTACACAGTTCCAACTCCAACTTCATGGACCATGTAAATCACATGATAGTTCAGCCTCAATTTCTCCAATCTGTTCAGCACCCTGAGGGGAGTGTAAGTGCAGTTCACAGCTCAGGTATGTGACACCTTCCCAGAGGCTTCTCACAATGATTGCAGTGTGACAGTATTTCCCTTGTGGGTCAGCTTGCTCCACAGACTAAAGCCCTGAGGTCCATTGTTTCAGCTTCTCAAACCTCTCAGAGATCATTGCACAGGTGTGAAAGAAGCTAACAATGAATTTCATTCTGTCCAAGAATGTACTTTGGAATTAAAACGTGGTATCCTTTTTTAAAGTCTTCATTAATGGTTTTGAACTCTGACCTCCACAGTAAAAAAAATGCTTTGTTTGTAGTATTGAATGGTATGAAGGGTAATATTGTCCTTTTGCATCTATAGTTCTGTAGCATGTTAATTTCTACCCACTCCTTTCAAAGCAAAAGGAAGAAATTGTATTATTTTTTAAATGCACAATTGCTGCAGTGCCTCTGTTAGCTGCTGTCAAGGCCTCAATCTGGGCTGTCTGGAGATAAGTTCATATAGTTGTGTGCAACAGGCATTAGGATATATTTTAATTTAATTTTTAGTCTATATGAGTTAAAATATATACCCAAATCTGAAACCTCCTCAGTGAAGTTAAATCCAGGGCAAAGATACCTGTTTAAAAATTGGATTCTGGAATCCTTTTAGCTGAATGGTACATATGTAAAGAAGTAAAGCTGATGTAAGTGTAGGCAGTTATAAGTAGCTACATATAGACATGCTTAGAAAACTACTGTATTTTCCTTTATATTGTACTGACAGTTCACTGAAATGAAACTGAATGTTTAATGGATAAACTGTTGCAAACTAGGTTTTTTGGCTCCTAAATATGTTTTGATTTCAGACTTCCATTCTTACAGGCAGGGCAAGGCAATAAAATGGGTTATGGACTGGGTTATCCCATTGCTCCTGGAACTGCAGTACCTTGAGGTACATAGGAAGTGGCAGCATTTCTCCACTAACCTAATTATGGAGCTGATTACACGTGGTAGTTCAGAGAGATTTCTTCCTGTGACTAGGTAGAGACAGGGATTTCTCAGAGTGCAACCAAACAATAAAAATGTCTTGAGTCCTCAGAAGTCTTCCAGGAAGGCTGTAGCACAGGCAACTAGGGTGGCAATGCATTTATTTCTGGGAGCTTGAGATTCAAATCACAAGGATTTGAAACCTTGGAAAATATAAGCTTTGAGATGTACATTTTGTCTCAAGTAAGGTTGAGGCCTCGGCTGTGATCAGAAGGGGCAACATGCAGGTGAGATAACAGAATTTTACTGCAGAAACTAATTGTCTCTGCACTTATTGGCTACTTGTCTTCTGTAGTCAAGTGGCTCAAAGAGCAAAGGTGGGCATGCTCACTTTTTAGTTAGGATTTATCATACTCAGGTTAAGATATCTGTGAGCACCATTTGTGTGTGCTCCACCTTAGTGGATGGGCACTGGTCAACACCTTCTGTCATCGCAGGCACGTGGCAGGTGTCTGTCCTTGTTCTCAGTCCAAAGGAGGGGGTGCTGTGGCTTGAAAATGAACAAGGTTAGTGGGCTTTAGGTGACTTGTTCCACAAGTGTAACTGCATGCCCTTTGCCGCCCTTTGTCCCAGTGGTTCCCAGTGTGGCCACGATGGTGATCATCATCTGTGTGAGTGTGCTGGTGTTGGTGGTAACGCTGGGCGTATTCCGGCTGCGCACGGCCCATCCGCGCAGCGCCACGGGCCACGAGGGAGCCAAGGACAGCGACATGGACTGGGATGACTCTGCCCTCACCATCACTGTCAACCCCATGGAGGTACTCAGCTGGGGCACAGCACTGCACCCTGGCCAGGAGCCACTGGCTGGGCTGGCAGTGGGTTTGAGCCTCTTTCAGGGTGCAGTTGTTGAGCTATTTGTGTGTGTACACTCAGGAGCCCAGCCCAGCTCTCTGCTCTGCATACCATAATCAGATATTACTGAGAGCTTCAGATTTGTTGTCATGTATAATTACTAAAGAAGATGGTGAAGAACTCTCAGGTACAGCATCACTTCCATTCCATCCATGTCTGTTTGTAGGTACCCAAGATGATATAGTTGCTTTGGTTTTTACTTTTTCATTTTTTTATACACTAAAAGGAGGGGAAATCATCAGCAGTTTAAAGAAGCTGATGTTGAACATTTAAATTTTGGCAGTGTGGCTAACAAAGATTGTTTATTCACATTCCATTCTTCTTACAGTAGTTTTTGAATACCAGCAGTTTGCTACCAACTTGTATGAATTTGATGCTTAATAATCACATAATGATAGAAAGCAGATTTGTCCAGCATATTAGCATTTCTGAATGCTCATTTGAGACAGCTCTGGCTAGCAAGAAGGCACCTTTCTGCTACTGTCTCATTTCTTTAAATGTGTTGTAGAAATATGAAAAGCCACACCAGACAGAAGAAGAGAGTGAGGAAGAAGACATAGACGATGAAGAGGAAGACACAACCAGTGCTGAATCAGATGACAGTGAAGAGGATGAAGAGGAGGAGGAAGTGATTGTCGAAAAGGGAGACAAACAGAATTCCACCAGGCAAGAGCAGTTGGAGTGGGATGATTCAACACTCCCCTACTAACAAACAGCCCTCCAGCCACAGCTCTTTTGTAATAACCAATACAGTGTTTTTCAGAGTCTATGACATTGACAGGATTTGAACTTCTGCTTGCTTATAACTGTTTTGCCTAAAATGATCTTGTTGTAGTAATTGATAATGATAGAACTGGCCCTTTTCTTATAAAGCCTGGGGAAAAAATGGTACAAACCTCCTGGCACACACAGTAGTAAAGTAATCCAGAACTTCATCTGTTAGCAAGCATAGTTCTCAATTTCCTCTTTCTACCCTGCAGATGTGTGACAAAATTCCTGTCACTCGATCCATAGAAGTTTTTGCCTTTGCTACTTTTTTCACACAGGAGAGATTTTAGCTTGTTATGAAAAATAACTTCTGTGGATCCACATACCAGTTGCCATCTAACTTCACATTCTTACAGGTGTAAAAAACATAATCCACCTCCAAACTGGGGCAGGGCTTTAGTGCTGCAGGGGCTGATTTCCATCTGTCATCTCGTCCTGCCTTTTGGATGTTAACTGTCTTCTACAGTGGAATATCTAGGACTTTACAGGGGATGCATGTGTGCCTATGTAGACGTGGATGGTGTATTTTTTCAGGCATGCTTTCAGACCCTCAAGAGAGAGATTTTTATCCAACCTACTGATAGAAATTAAAAACGAGTTTTAAAAAAACAGCAACAAGAAGGGGCTGCTGAAGGTTACCAAAAACACCCCAGTTTGTTTTGTGTCCACAGATTGAGTAATACGGTCTTATGCAAACTGTAAATTCTAATGGGATTGATTCGCTGAAAATCTGTAGAGCTGCTCATTAGTTATGGACTGAGCAATTTGCAGCAAATCGATGCTTTAAACCGTCTGTCTCATGGAATCATTAGCTTGCTGCAGCATCTTACTGAACTAGTGGAAAATAAGTGACCCCATTATTCCATAGCTATATATGGCTGGGATTTAAACAATCATTTTAGATGAGGAAAATGTTACCTTTTGCTTAGTGAATGCCAGCTGGAATTCCTGTCTGACTGTATTCTATAAAAACACGATGCCCTATTTCTTTGGTACCCCTGCCTGCCTGTAGTGCACAAGAGAAAGGAACAACACTGTGAGCCCTCTTCTGTGCTCATAATTCTCCCTTATTTCTTCTTCCTGAAGTCATTAGTGTTGAGAGAAGGTTTTATAAAGTAGACAAGGAAAAATATAACCTACACAGAACCAAAATAGTTGAAAACGAAAACTAAAATCTTAAGAGGTTGAGAGAGTATTTTAGTTTGTTATGGTAACACAGCATATTTTTCTTAAACACTGTTTAAAAAGAAAAAAAACAAAAAAGACAAAGCAGAGATAGGTATAGAACATGTTGATAAGTCCGTGTGATGTGTTTTTTGTCCCCTTTCCTGAAGTACCTTGGCCTCTTCTACTGCTCTGTTCACCAAATGCTGCAGTACTTGCTGGGGTAGCTGCTCCAATGCATAGGAACAAAATGACATGGAAGTCATTGGAATGCTGCTTAGTGGCTTGTCCGGGCTGTTTTACTGAGTACTTTGTTTTCTTTGCAACTTCACCTTTGACTTTTGCTTTTGCAATCTGCTGTTTAAAATGAGCTGCTTCCTCCTCTCCACCCTCCTAGTCAGTCTTGACACAGCAGGACCTTCCTGAGCACCCTGAATGGTGGCTAATGTTGCAAAGGGTACTTGGAGCAATCCTGAGGGTATCCACCTCCCTCAATACTGGATTATTAACAGCTGGATTATTAAATGAATGTCATGGAATATAGGGAATATATAGTGTGTTGGGGGGTTCTTGTAATTCCAGTTTCTGCATTTGATAGCTGAAGGGAAATACTGACAGCAACTAGGCCTTGTAGTTGAATAACTAGAAAGTAAATGAAAGAAAAATCTATATTAATTTTAAAATTAGAGCTATTCATGCTTTTATTTGTTGTGCCAGCAATCACATTGTCACATGGTTGTTAAGATTGGCAACACAGCGGTTTTCTTTTGTTCTCAATCCTGTTTCATTTTATTGTCTCACACATATTAAACTTAAAAGAATATTTGCAGAATAAAGGCCATATAAGTACATTTTATCTGCAGGAACAACAGCTGCAAAAATCTCCACAATTTCTGTTTAAGATGAAATTAATATTAGTGTTTCTGAATATCTTGAACAAAAATGTTATGTTAGATCCTAACATCTAACCTACCATCCCAGTATCCTAGATAATTTCCTACTTTTAATTTTCTTAGTGACATGAAGCAGGCTCTTCATGATGCTTGTTATCAGCACATATCAGCAAATCTTCTGCTCAGAAAAAAAAAGATTTAAAATTAAATGTAGATATTTAAAAGTCAATTTCAGATTTAAAACTAGACTTAAATTATTTTAAAGTTTCTGTTATTCCTGGTTATTATTATTATTATTGTTGTTGTTGTTGTTGTTGTTATCATAGCAAACATTAGGGCAACTTAAAAACAGCAATTTATAACCTTATTGAAAGCCTTTAATTCTTTTATATGTTTGTGAATTCATCAGTGTGTTTCTCCATCTAATAGACTTTTATCTTTTTGTTACTGGAAGCTGATCTTTTCAGGTTGTACTCGTACATTACATAAGAAGCAAACAAAGTATTTTCTCTACTGTAAATAAACATACATTTTTAAACCTAAGCAAAGTAATACAGGCATGTGTGTTATCACTAAAATGTAGTTTGCAGTAAGATATTCAGCAAACTAAAATGTATCACTGTACTTATTTTAGATTACTCGTTGGAGTGCATTATGCAGCATTTTTCATTCAAATAAATAGAAACATCGTTTTCACAAAATGGCAGTGAGAATGAGATACTTCTTCACACAATGGGCCCTAGAATATTTGTATAGCCCTGAAGAGCAGTGGCTTCCTGAGCAAACTACTACCAGAAAATCAGAGAACTATCACTTTTTCTAAAACAATTCTAACAATATTTCCTCCCCTCCAGAAATTATTTTTTTATATAATCTACTTACTTAAAAACCAACCAGAACATGTACACACATACATACATAAAGACACATACACGAGGGGGTTTTTGCCCCTAATCAAAAGCCAAAATTCTTTCCTTTCCTTCCTGAAAAAAGTGTTTAGAACTATAAAATCATTCAGGTTGGAAAGGACCTCTAAGGTCATTGAGCACTGCCAAGCCCACTGCTAACATGTCCCCACGTCCCCCATTCAAGTGTCTTGGAATTCCCCCAGGGATGGTTACTCCACACTGCCCTGGACAGTCTCTTCCAATGTCTCACCTTCCTTTCAATGAGGAAATTTTCCCCAATATTCAATCTAAACTTCGCCAGCACAGTTCAACGTTGTTTCCCCTTGTCCTATCACTTGTTACTGGATCAGAGAACCCAACACCACCTGGCTGCAGCCTCCTCTCAGGGAGTTGGAGAGAGGGAAAAGGCCCCTCCTGAGCTTCCTTTTCTGCAGGCTGAGCCCCCCCAGCTCCATTAGCTGCTCTTCACCAGCCTGGTGCTCCAACCCTTCCCCAGCTCTGTGCCCTTCCCTGGACTCACTGCAGCCCCTCAGGGTCTGTCTTGTGGTGAGCTGGCTTTTTTACACTATCAATAAGCAAGTGTATCCAAAGAAAGCAGTTCTGAAGAGGTACCCACAATCCATGGCATCAGGAATCCAGAGGCAACAGCAAAGGCCTAAAATTACATTGCATCAATGATGATTTTAAGATATTGAAGTTCTATTCTAAAGCTGGGAGAAGCTGCAAAACCTACAAATGCAAATTGAAGATGTTATCTGAATTAGTATAACTGCCTAAGTGGCTATTTGTAATTAATAGGTCTCATTTCCCTTTCACTTCTACCCCCTCCACAGGTGTTTCATCTTTGCAAGTAAACCTTAAAATGCATAGTTGAGATTAATCTCAATATTTACTGCATTGGCTGACACCAGTTTAAATTAGAAATAGACATGCAGGATTTGTGACATCTTTAATACTAATTAAAATAAACTGTTGCTACTTGTTCATTCCAAGGTAATACCTTGCAGTGCTGGTGGGACTGTTTTTTACCTCACCAGAGGCTAATGAGAGGGAGCAGTTTATTTTCCTGTCTGGCATGTGGTGATGCTGAGCTTGCTGAGCACCATCCTTACTCCATTCTGGAACAAAGTAAGGCTCAGGAAAGACCAGAGGGTTCTAAAGTTCCTCCTGTGAGGATGAAACCCACCATCTCCATTGCAGTAGCTGTCCCTGCATTACCCTAAACTGAAAATAATGCCATGGGAGATCAGCAGCCCCAGGTGGGCAGAGGGTAATGCAGTAGCAGCCCTTATTTCACTGTGGCAAAGCCTTTTGGGCTTTGATAAAATATAAGTAATAAAATAGTAAATAATTTGTGTCTCAGCTGTCCCTTTCTCCAGCTGTAACCTCAGAGGCAGCTTTACTCTTCTCCCTGGTAGGGGTCCCAGTGCACTGGGACACAACACTGCCTGTTTTCAAAGTTGGTGCCAGAACACACAGCTCTCCATCTCCACAGAACAGCACCAGGAAAGACTTCACTGAGGTGACAGCAGGTAAAGGTCTGGAGGGATGGAGCTGCTCCTGGTATCGTGGAATAGAAATCATAATACCAAAATTAAGGTTGTTTGCAAAAACATATGTCTACTGAGAGAGGGAGAGGAAATAAAACTCTGAGTACATCTCCTTTGAAGGGACTCCCCCTCCCTTAATTCACACATGCTGACCAGAATATGTATCTCAAAACTAGGATATCCCCAGTCTCAGGGGGGATATCAGTTTTTATCAGGTTCTTCCCTGATAAAATTACTGAGTAAAAATAGTGGAAATACTGGGAGCAACCTAGATGATGAAGCAGCCTCATCTAGGCTTTCAACAGCAGGTCTTGGGATTAATGCCCCTCTCAGTGTTCCCTGTAGCTGCTGACTTTTATGGAACAACTGCTTATAGTAGTTCTACACCAAGTGAGCAAATCTATGGAAACAAGCCCCAAATGACAAAACATTAATATCAAAAAGATTGCCAAAGAAATCAAACCACCTTCTAAGTCACTAAATTCATTCCTGTTGATGGTACATAATCCTGTGCTGCATAATCTCCCTCATACTCCAGCCAGTGTCACCAGCCACAGAATGGCATTGGGATTTCGTCTCAGCACAGCCGAGGAAGTGCCAGGCTTTGTTCCTGCACAGCCTCCATGCCCCCAGAGCCTGCAGAGCCCACACATTCCAGTGCCACTGCCAACAGCCACGGGAACAGCAGCCAGCCCATCCCTCGAACACCTTGGTGTTCCCAAAGAAACTAACACTCACATGCACCAAACCATGCAACAATTTGTAATATAAAGTAAATACTTTTTATAGCTGCGATCCTGTGCAAACATTGTACATTTGGGTCAAATGTTTTGTTGGGTTTTTTCAAATAAAGAAAGGCATAACAAGCAATGTATGGGAAGTGATGTAAACTGAAATGGATCAGGTTCCTAAAGCTGCATCTCTCAGATTGTGTATCCAATGATCAGACTTCTGGTTGCTGGACTCTCCTGGAATCCAGCTTTATTTTTGTTAGCATGGAGAATAAAGACATGGATAATAGAGATAACCACTAAAGCTACAGCAGAGCAAAATTCATACTCAACCCTCCCAATCTAAAGAAATATTTCTGCTAAATATATTGGGAAAATTGCTCCAGTGGTATCTCAGAAAGTAATTATAATTCGTCACCTTTGTAGGATTAGCAAGGTTCAGGTCTGGTATGTTCCTTTTGGTTTTGTTTTCCCCTGAAAAAGACATGGCCATAAATTAAAAATACACAACACTTGAACAGTGCAAAAACTAAGGGGGGAGCAAAGGCTTTTAATTTCATAAACCTCTGTCTAACACTGGAGTTTAAAATAATAAACAACTGAAGCCCTCATTATTGAAACTTAGCAGAGAAAAATGAACCCAGGAAGTTTTGTATGTTCATAAGTTCATTTCTGGTGATGAAAAGGCAGGCACCAGAGCAGGTACCCTTTTTCCCTAAAGGCATTTTGCCTCCTTTGGAGTAGGTATTGCCAGTGGTTTGCTCGTTATGGTTTTCATGTCTCTGCTGGCAAGGAACAGTGCTGCTGGCATCCTTTGGAACAGCAAAATTATGGTGGTGAACCATAATTCAGTAATTCTCCTGCAGTTCTGCTCCCAGCTCTCCATGGTAGAGCACTCCAAACAAGTGCAGAGGGAGTGACACAATGGTTACAGTGGAGAGCTCTGGGCTGGTGCTTCATTAGTTACTGCCTATAAAAAAACACTCTCAGCAGTGTGAAGTTCTGAAAATGTGTGAAACGGAGTTTAGAAAAGCCCTCATTCTTATTTTCAGTACTAGCTCATGGGGAAATTGTGCATTTATGAGCTGTCGAAGCTCCATGGCCATGTATTGTCACTGTTTATGTCTGTGCTGAGAACAAAGAAGCAGCAGATTCTTTTTTCCCAGTTAAGTACATTGTACAGTGAAAGAGTTCAGCTTTCCCTGGGCAAGGTGCACAAAGCTTGCCAAATGCAAAGAGAAGCTGACTCCAAATAGGGAACAAAGATTTTACAATGGTATTCCATCCTCATTCTTCAGAAACCCAGAAAATTTCATGGCAGTAAAATGCTTTTCTGCAGCCTTACCTATTCCTTTTGTATAAATCTGGATACAGTCTTGGGTTTTCAGAGGCATTTAACTTCCCAGCTGGGTGTATTGTTCTTTCAGGTGTCTTTTGGTGTACTAACTCATAAAACTATTTTTGGCTGAAGGTTTCAGGATATGCTAAGCGGGAAAAAAAGCAAAATGTTATTAAAATTACAGTGTCTTTTTTTTCTACTCCTTCTTCCCCTAAATATATAAACAGGTACAGAAGACTTGATCAGACAGCCCTGACCAAGTCTGTGACTACAATGATATTTCAAACCAGTACTGAAATTGGCAATAAATACTTGTCTACAAACTGCTTCATGTGCAGTAGATGAGAAGGTGGATGGTTGCTTTAACTGGGCATGCTCTTTGGAATGTGGAATGGATCAACTACAGTCATTTCCATTAGAAAATCAAACTATTGTTTAAGGAAGAGTGAACAGGAACATAGAAGAGAATACTGCATGAATAACAGAAAGAATTAAGGTTTGCAGTGATGTGAAAAAAGTTGAACTATAATCTTGTAGAAAAGAAAAAGACATAAAAGCTTGAGTGTCAAATAGTAAGAAAATTGAAGCATTTTCTGTTTTCATGCCAGAACTGACACTGTCACAAGGAACAAGAAGGAGAATGAATGTAGGAAGGATTCCTACGAATCCTACAAAGGATT